CATACTAGCATGATCTGCTCCTTGAATGTTTGGCAGAATTTGCCCATAAGCCTGTGGTACATGCCTAATGAGGCACAATACTTCTGCTTCAATTTATTTAACAGCTTTAAAGGAAAATTCAGACTTTTAGTTCTCTCGATGAAATTGTCTTGCCAAGATATACTATTCTAAGTATTTGTTTTGTCTAAAATTTAAAATTAGGATTAAGGCTTTTGATGGATTTCTGTAAATTTCTTTTCAATCTGTTTTATTTGTCATTATGCTTCCTTTTTATTCCTAACAGTTTTCTTTTATCCCTTCTTTTGCTCTTCATCTGTCATTCCAGAATCTTTCCAAAGAACCCATTTTTAAAATCTTTTTTTAAAATCGTTTTTAAAATCATATTTGCTGTTGCTGTTAACGTTGACTTCTGTGCTTATCTTTGTTATTTCTTCCTTTTCTCATGCTAATTCTTGTTCCTTTTTAACTCCTGCTACTAGAAGCTTAGCTTATTAATTTCCAGGTATTTTTCTTTTTCTGCACTTTCTGTATTTGACCATTAACCTTTTTTAAAGCTCCACACATTTAGAAATTTAAAAACACACTTCTAAGTAACTGAAAGCTGAAAGAATAAAATTATAATTGAATTTAAAGAACACTTATGATTGGGTAACAATGGGGCATCAAAACTTGTGGGATATGGTAAAGTCACATTTTTAAAAATTACAGCCATCTGGGGTTCCTTGTGCCACTGAGCCAACAGGCAGAGACAGGAGTCACTATAATGACTAGGGTGATTGATGCCTATTGCCAGAGGGGAGATTAAGTAGTTTCTACACAAAGGAGGTGATATCTGGAGATGCAGTGATTCATGTGTGTGTCTTATGGTATCTCCTTATCTCTAGTCTTGGACAGTGGGATACTGAGGCAACTCAATAAAGACAAGGCTTCCAAGAACTCAGATCCCATAGAATGAAGTGTTGGGCCATCCCACCAAATAAAGGCCCCTATTTGGCCAGTGTGCTGGCAGAGAGTAAGGGAACAATGAAATGAATGGTGGAAAGAAAGAGTTTGAACTATCAATTTAGGACTGATGACCTATGACTGTAACAACCATATGTGTGCTATTTAAACCACCACCTCTCCCCCTATTTTATATGAAGAATATCTGTGGCAGTGAATGTTTTAGGTTTTAGTTGGGTGTATGTTTGTGTGGATATCGCCCTCCAGTGATTTTTGTGGCTGATGATACTTTCCACGTTCCCTTCCCGGGGGACGTGGGATTTTCACCGGGTTGAAGGATGAGAGTGGATGATGAGAGGCAAAATGGGTAGATTGTACCAGAATCTTCATTTGCCCATTCCTATCTACTCTATGTTCTTCTCCACACTGCTTTCTACCTTAGGAACCTTATCTGAGTGGATTATAATAGCCTAGTCCTCTGGCTTCCAGGTAGTTCCAGCCATGGAGAAACAGAGGGGGAGATCAGAGGGAGGGAGGGAGGAGGGAGGAGGAGGATAGGGTATATATTTCTCTGATACTTTCCCTGACGGGTTACTTCGGGTTATGTCCATCAAGCAAAGGTCACTGTCCCTCTCAAGGTGGCCTTCTGCCCACAACTCTCTCCTTCCAAGTTTTGCAAACGCTTCTTCCCTTTATTCCTATGGACCCAGGAATGTAACATGTCTGCAGTCCTATCTCTGACTATTGAGCCTGGAGATATTGAGCCATGCTTTCTGTGTTCCCACATGCTGCATCTATCTTTGTAAATAGTTCCTTTATCAAACACTCCTTGAATCATCCTAATTTGAGGATGCCATTATTTTCCTATTGGATATTTGATGATGAGTCAGGAATAGGATTCTCAAACGAAGAGGCAGCATTGCAACTGATACTCTTTTTAATGACTTCTTCCAGAGATATTCCGTTAACTTAGATTTCTTCCTAAGAAGTCTGTTTCTAATTGGGCAATTTGCCATTGCCTTCTACACATTATTAATTGCAAAATGTTCAAGGCTATTGCCTGATCACACGTATTCACCACATTGGCAAGGGGCATGTTTTCGTCTGTGTCTTTATCAGTGACATCATGATCCTCCAGTCAACTCTTATCTGTATTTAATTTCCCCATCACGCAAAGAATGAACAATAGATGAATCATAGAGTTGACCATTTCTTTGTTATCAGCTCCTCGTTACTTCTATTTTAGGCTGATAAACTTCTTGTGCAGGTATGAAGTTTGATATTACCATCTTCCCATCAGTCACATAAAAAGTCTTCCAGGCCCTTATAGGCCAGTTCATTTTTCAAATATTGCTGTAAACAGTGGTTCTCTCAAGCATCTGGGAATGTTGATTTGTCATCATCAATGCAAGCATGGGCAACTGTGCAAATAACATTCTTAAGAGTAAATTCTTTTTGGGGAGTCATGGAGTCTCAGGCTCTGTGATTATAGCAAGCACACAGCCCGAAAAAACAGTGTTTACCTTTGCTCTAAAATTCTTTGTATTCGGGCTACAATATGCATATCTCACAGGGAGAAATAAAAGCTGAAACACTGCTTTTTATGAGAAGTTCCGGAAGGAGGTGTGCAGAGCAGTTTTCCAGAAATGATGCTAACATCTTACAATTCTCTTGTTCCAATCCAGAATGCCTGCAATGATTTTTTGCCACTGGTGCAAAGTGGTTACTAGTCAATCAGAAAAGAAATCTCTGGTCACTGGCATTGTCCTGTTTGCATGATAATGGACAGTAAGTTGTATACACATTTCAAAGGGGGCACATGTTGGCTTTTCCCCAGTTGGTTCTAAAAGTATCCTGTGAGCACCTGCAGTGATTGGCACACCAAGAAAAGTCCATAGGGTGTAACCGATTGGTGGGCCGTCATCAGTTTCCTTCCCACTGTCGATTGATCAGAGTCAAAGTTCCAATCAGTTAATAACATAGCAAATCCCCTGATGCAATTTTCAGCAGCTTCGTTAACAGCAAGTTTTTCACCTCCAATTTTGACATTTTCGTACGTCAGTTAACATAAAGACAAAAATAAAGGGGGAAAAAACACACATTGTTCTCAAAGCAACAAAGTATACCAGTGAGGCTGGTAAGCATAACTATCAGTTTAGTGTCAGAAGCTGTCTGTCACTAAATTTAGACTGCAGGTCTGTACACACATCCCCTACCCTGCCACCAAGCTGTCTTTTGCTTGGTAGTTGTCAGGAATACCCTCTTGTATGCTTTTCTTTTCGATGTTTCCACATTCTTAGGTTTTATGGGAGCCTCTCGCATGTATGACACTTACATGGACTTAGTTTCTAAGAAATCTAATCTAACAATCTTTAAATTGGTGCATTGAATTCATACAAGCTTAAAGTATCAAAATGATCTATTTGGACAAGTGACTTTTGAATTCTGCCTCTTTCTTCTTTCTTGCCTCCCTTTTTTCAAGGTTTTAGTTTTAAGTCATCTCTACACCCAACATGGGGCTTGAACTCACAACCCCGAGATCAAGAGTTGTACTATCCACTAACTCAGCCAGCCAGGCGCCCCATTTCTTGCCTCTTTTAAATTGATTTCCTTTTTTCTTATTCATTTTGATGCAGATGAAATACATATGTTCTCCTTCTATTCTTTGGATAATTTTGGTTGAAATTTTACCGTGCATATTCAATTTGGCAAAGCCCAACGTTAAACAATTTTCCACTCTGGTTATGGATAGCGTAAGCACCTTAGAACACTTTAATTCCACCTCTTCCAATGCATGTATGATTATTATCATCCAGTATTTTAATTCTGTCCTTTTTTTAATTATAGAAATGAGACCTTGTTATTAACTTATATTGAGAATATTTATTTGAATTCATATGCATGTGTGTCTCAGGATTCCATCAGAGAAGCAGGAAAGATATAAGGAGAGATTTGTCTTGAGGATTCAGTCTTCCTCAGTCGTGGAAGTTGGTTAAATCTTACATTTGCTTTAGGTTTATTTATTTTTGAAAGAGAGACAGAGTGCGAGCAGGGGAGGATCAGAGAGAGAGAGGGAGACACAGAATCCGAAGCAGGCTCCAGGTTCCGAGCTGTCAGCACAGAGCCCGACGTGGGGCTGAAACTTACAAACGGCGAGATCATGACCTGAGCTGAAGTCGGACACTTAACCAACAAAGTCAGCCATGTGCCCCCAGGTTAAACCTTTTATAAGACGCTGTTTCCAGCATCAGCATCACGTCAGCCCGTGTCAGGTCGGGTGACAAAAGCTGTCAAAAATAGAAGGTGCACACGCCATGAGAGATGCAAGGACAAACAGAAACCAAAAGCAACTGATGCCCTTTGGCAGGGAGCTAAACACACATCCAGCGTAGGATCTGGGACCTGACATTAAAGGTGTCACTGAGCAGCCTGCTATCCCTTTCAGTGCTGTTCTTTTGTGACAATTGCAACATTCTCTCACTACTTCCAGGTCTTCTCTTTGACTTCTGTGTTCTGAAGTTCCAAACTGAGCCAACACGTAAGCAACCGTGTGCAGGAATTGCAACTGGCATCCCTGAACTAAAAAGAAGTTCCTTTACACTCTCCTTCTGATTCTCTTGCACAGTGTATCTTACGGCCCACACCAGTCTGGATCCACACAGGGGAGGACATTCTTGGAAACACGGTTTCAGCTTAGCTCAGTCAACTGCAAGACAAATCCACCATACTTACCACTGCTTTTGCTTATGGCATGTTCTTGCCTCTCAGACTATCCCTCAAGGATCAGCTTTCTTCTTCCTGAGGAATGTACTCGGAAGATACTTTTAGGGGTGCCTGGGTGGCTCAGTCGGTTATGCTTCCACTCTTGATTTTGGCTCAGGTCATGAGCTCATGGTTCCTGGATTCAGGTCATGATCTCGTGGTTCCTGGATTCAAGCCCCATGTTGGGCTCCGTGCTGCTAGTGCAGAGCCTGCTTGGGATTCTCTCTCTCTCCCTCTGCCCCTCCCCTTCTCTCTCTCTCTCTCAAAAATAAATAAAAGATACTTTTATGTATAAGGTTTGTTTGTTTGTTTATTTATTTACTCATTCATTCATTCATTTATTAGACCCCATCAGCTTAGGGGACAGTGTTGTAGACCTTATAGTCATCCTTCTGGGTGACATGCAGCTTCCAGGAAAAGAGGCGCTTCTGGGAGGGGAGACCTTGGGCCTGCTTCACCATGAGCGCCACATCCTCATCTGACAGCAGCCGAACCAGATCCCCCTCGGCATCCCGGTAATTTAGGGCGATGTCTTCCCTCTGGAACTCCCGCCTGGGAGGAAAAGATCAGGGTTAACAAAAGGTCCGGCAGCCTTAGGCCTAAGCGTAGGGACAGGGAGAGGGGGTGGAGGGATGTTTAAAGCCAGGATCTAAGAATCCGAAGAGTCAGAGGCTGACACAGGCCTTATCATCCGTGTGGTCCAATCTTCCACTGTACAGATGGGGAAACTGGGACCTACAGGGGAGAAGAGGCTTTCACACAAATCAGGGGCACAGTCTGAGATGCCTTGTGTACAAAAGTGAAGAGTTAGGAACCATCGTGAGGAAGCGGGGTGGGCTTGGTCGGGCGCAGAGTAGAGAGAATAAAGCCCCCAAGAGCTGTGTGTCCCCGTGGAGAAGGATTCTTTAAGGATCGGGACTGTCTGACATGGGGTGGACCTGGCTGGTGAAAGTGAAAAATGATGTAACCTTTAAAAAAAAATTTTTTTTAATGTTTGTGTATTTTTGAGAGGGAGAGAGAGAGACAGAGTAGGGAAGGGGCAGAGAGGGAGAGAAAGAATCTGAAGCAGCTCCAGGCTCTGAGCTGTCAGCACAGAGCCCAACGTGGGGCTCGATCTCACGTGATAGAACCTTTCTATGGTTAATCTGACAAAAGGGGTGTGAAGCCTAGCAGACTTGCAAACACCTTAATTCCAAATTCCGCTTCTAGACACTCATCTGAAGGCGATAATCAGGCAAGTCACAAAATATGAGAATCGTGGCATTATTTATGACCGTAAGGAAGTGGAGGATAATGTAAATGGCCGAGGAGGGGTGGCTACATTAATTCTGGCGCACCCTCAGATGACACCATGTAGCTAGCTAACGCCATATTTACAGCGTGGTGGTGTGCACTGGAGAAATCTGCACATCTAATAATGAGAAGAGTGATGTATGAGGCGATTTCACTTCTTTATGCTCTTCTGTGATTTCTGACATTCTTATATATACATGTATTTAATAGGAATGACATTTGTAGTCAGGAATTGAACAATGTTATTTCCATTCTATAAAATAGGTGTCCATGAATATGCTGGACCTTGGGAGGTGGTGGTTCTTGGCTGATGGAGGACCCAAGTCCAAGGGTTTTAGCTAGCGAGACCCTAGCTCTAGCTGCAAATCCATGCTCACAATCCATGTGATCTCATCTAAGCCCCTGTACGTCTCTGCAGACCCCTGCTCGTCTCTGTCACAGGAAGACATATCTGCCCTGCGGGGCTGGGCTGGGGACAAAACAAGAAGGCAAAGCAGATGCACCTTAATGCACCACGTTCGTCCTTTTGTTCTCTCCTCTGGGGTCTCTGACCCCCTAACTCCGCCCTCCCACCTCCAACCACTCACCTCATGAGCTGAAGCAGGTCCTTGAATAGCGGAGTGCTGCTGAGATCTTCCTCCACCGCGATGTCCCTAAGGGAACAACAGGCAGCAGTGAGGGGGCGTCAGGCCGGAAGAGGGACATGGGAAGGAGGCTGATGGGACCACGCAGGATCTTGGCATCCTGTTACCGAGTTATGGCTTCTCTGGAGCCACTGTGGGCTTTTAGTTGGGGGAAGGGAGATCTCAGAGCCCAGGGTGCGATGTGGGGGATGGGATGGGGGTGGGGAGGGGCAGGGAGGGTGGACAGGCCCTGAACTTGATGGTGCTAATGGTGTCCTCATAGTAGTAGCAGCGGAGCCAGTTGGTGGGGTCGTCTTCCTCCGGGAAGTCCTTGAGGATCTTCACAAACGACTGTGGGAAGATGCCCGTGGCTCCCCGGACGGTGCCCTGAGGAGAAAAGAAGGGGCTGCCTTGTCGGTGGGAAGAGAGACAGCAGGGTCGAGTTCCAAGGGCCCCTGGCACCCTTGTCATGATGCAGATGAGGTCATATGCAAAGGTAGGAGAAAAAGTGATCAAGGTCACCGTGCTGCTGACCCCCAAAAGACTGCTCTTTCTGTTCTAGAATAGAACAATAGTCAAGAACAATCATCTTGCTTTATCTGCTTTCACCTAATTCAGTCATTGGTCCACAGAGTTCATGAGCACCAGCCAGGTGGCAGGCTCTGGGCACTCGGCATGGATGGCAGTTCCTGGGCTCCCTCTTGGAGCTACCTTATAATGGGGGGTGACAGTCAATGTGCAGGGACATAGGTGAACTTCGCGCTGAGCCAATAGCCATGCGTGTTAAGGAGGAAAACAGAACAGGGGAGGGAGGGGATGCCTGGGTGGCTCAGTCAGTTATGCATCCAACTATAGCTCAGGTCACGATCTCACGGTTCGTGGGTTCGAGCCTCACGTCGGGCTCTGTGCTGACAGCTCAGAGCCTGGAGCCTGCTTCACATTCTGTGTCTCCCTCTTTCTCTGCCCCTCCCCTGCTCACGCTCTGTCTCTCTCTCTCTCTCAAAAATAAATAAACATTAAAATTAAAAAAGAAAGAACAGGGGAGAGAACGAAGGGGTGGTTCTCTTCACTCATTCACGCATCTGCAGATACCACCGAGTGTCGGTTCTAGACCGGACAACCAGAAACCTTTCTCCAGCCCACGTGTCTCTCCTGAGCTCCAGGCCAAGACCCAGCCACTGCCTGTGGCACTGCCACACATCCTCTTAATCTTTACAACCCTTTAGAAGAGATATTATCCACATCCCATTTCACAGACATGTAAGCTGAGGCTCAAAGTATCCGCCTCGCTCCTCCCCTGGCCCTCCCCGTACCCTGAGGCCGGAAGTCGGCCAGCATACTCACACACAGAACTTTTCAGAAAACAGGAAGGAGAGTGGCCAGCACTGCCCGACAGCTCTCAGAGCCGCCGAGTCCCGAGATGCAGCTCCAGGACAGGGTAAGATCAAAGCTGCCAAGTCAGTTGCAACCACTGGTCCTTGCCTCTGTCTAGCCCCTGGACACTAGGGACCCTCCATTCCCCTCGAATCCCCCTGGGGCCCGTTCCACAATCTCCTTCAGACACCCCCTGCCTCAGGAGCCTCAACAAAAGGGAACTTTGTTTAAGGACAGCAGGATCCGATCGAAATGGCCAGAATCAGGCCAGGGCTGCCCATCTCCATTCACCGAGTCACTATGAGCCACACATGCCGCCTGGGGGGGACGAAGCAACAGTCAAGACAGACTTTGGTGTCAGAGTCTCATTTCACTTTCCCAGTGTCCCTGGCGCCAGCCGGAGGCCACACATGCGGGCCCTCCACGGGCCAGGCCCCGAACAGCTGCGCCGCGCCCGCCCTCCCAGGTCCGCTATGAAGAAATTGCCGGCTATCTTCGTTTACAGAAAAGGAAACCACAGGGTTGAGCAAGCTTCCCAGGGATGCAAAACCAGTTAAAAACAACTAGGAAATGACACCAGACAGGCCGACCCCGGAGCTGTCACTAACTCTCCTTGCTGCGCGAAGGCAAGGACAGTGATCCCAGGTGACAGACCAGCGCGTCTCAACCGCAGAGGATTTTGCAACCTCCCCCACCCCGAGCCAGATGTCCGGAGATATTTGACTGTCAACTGCAGGGGTGCTGCTGGAATCTGGTGAGCAGAGGCCAAGGATGCGGCTAAATGCCCTGCAGTGCACCAGATGGCCCCACACCAAAGAACTATCTGTCCTCAAATGTCAACAAGCGCCACCGCCGAGAAACCCTGTGACAGACCAAGATATTAAATTCAGTAGGTTAACTGACGTGCCCGAAGCAACTGTTTGTCGGGGCCAGAACCAAAGGCAAGTGTGGTCTCCAGGGTCTGACACCTGCCTTCCCTGCGGCTGGACTCCTCACGTTGCCTCCACCCAGCTGCTCGGGTTTCCAGGATTACCCTCAGAGAGCACCTCTTCCCTGGGGCCTTGCCTGACACTGCCTCCTCTGATCCCCCTCCACGAGACCCAAAACAACCTCACCTCCAATCCAGCCTCCAATCTCACCTCCAACCTCACCTCCAACCTCACCTCCAGCCTCACCTCCAACCTCATCTCCAACCTCACCTCCACTCTCACCTCTGGCCTCACCCCCATTCTCACCTCCAACCTCACCTCCAGCCTCACCTCCAGCCTCACCCCCATCCTCACCTCCAACCTCACCTCCAGCCTCACCTCCAACCTCATCTCTAACCTCACCTCCACCTTCACCTCCAGCCTCACCTCCAACCTCAGCCCCATCCTCACCTCAAACCTCACCCCCTCACCTCTGGCCTCACCTCCAGCCTCACCGCCATTCTCACCCCCCATTCTCACATCCAAACTCATCTCCATTTTCACTTCCAACTTCACATCCAACATCATCTCCAACCTCACCCCCTCCTCACCCCCATCCTCACCTCCAAACTCATCTCTATCCTTACCTCCAACCTCATCTCCAACATCACCTCCATCCTCACCTTAAACCTCATCTCCATCCTTACCTCCAACTTCACTTCCAACCTCACTTCCATTTTGACCCCCATCTTACCTCCACCCCTATTCCCTCCTCACCCCCATTCTCACCTCCAAACTCATCTCTATTCTAAACTCCAACCTCACTTCCAATCTCGCCCCCTCCTCATCTCCATCCTCACTTCCAACCTCATCTCCATCCTTATCACCAACCTCACCTCCAACCTCACTTCCAACCTCACCTCCAACCTCACCTCCAACCCCACCTCTATCCTCACCTCCAACCTCACCCCCATCCTCACCCCAAACTCACCTCCAGCCAGTCTTTATTGATCCGACTGAGAAGGATGATCACATCTCCAGCTTTGAAATTCAGCTCCAGTTTGCTGTTCCCGGTGAAATCAAACAGGGCCTGGGAGAAGAGTGGAGCAAGGCGGGAGGGAGGAAGCACTCACTCACTGAGTTCCTACTGACGTGCTCTACATGCCTCGGGGTCCCAGTGAACACATGAGGAGACTGACTTAGGAAGGATAACTGACTTGTCTGAGGCCACTCATGCATTAGTGGAGGAACCAGGATTAGAACCCTGGTCCCTCCGAGTCCAAAAAGGTGCTCCTTCCAGACCTGGTGGGATGAGCACAGAGAGACAAGCATCTAAATTCCCGGGGTTGAGTACCCTCTTGGGCCCCTCAGGCCTCAGTGTGGGCTTCAGTGCTCCCATAATGCTAGGGCGCTGGCCATCCTGTTTCTACATGTGTGTCTCCCAGGGAGCCGTGAGCTCTTTGAGGGCGGGGCCGGTGTGAGTCATCTCTGAGGCCCAAGGTGGGCTCGGTGGGAGGAGGCCCGGGAGGCTGCCGAATGGATGATGGATGGCCGCCTTCCCCTCTGCCTCTGAGTGCTCCCCACACCAACTCCTGTCAGCAGGGCTGGGCGTCCTGGGGCTGAGGCTGAGTCCCCTCCTGCTCGCGGCACCCAGCCCCATCCTAGGCACACAAAGGGTGCCCGGCAAGAGGGGCAGAGTGGCCAAACGTGGAGCCCAGAGATGAGGAGGGAGGCCTGGCCCGGCAGGGTTACCTCTGCTCGCGGAGCCGCCATGCGGTCAAAGATGGCGCCTTGTGGGGCCTCATTCTTGCTGTGGAGAGAGAAGGGAGGCCAGTCAGCCCTCCTGGTTCTCTCGGGGCCTAGCTCCCTGCTTCGGTGCCCAGAGGAGCCCCTCATCAAGGGTGGGAAGGGTGCGGGATGGGGAGGAGGTTAAAAATGCAGCTACAGCCGCTCCTCTGGGCCATCACACTCGCTCCCTCGTTCCCACTGCCGCTGGGGGAGGGACTGTATTCCCTTTTGTGGGCCAGGAAACAGAGGCTCAGCAAGAGGGTGGGGAGGGAGACACATGTTCGCGTAGTGCCCTAACATACCAGCCCTTTCACATCTGCTCTTCCTTCTATGCCCCACACCCCGCTTCTAACTTTTCAACCAAGGAAGCGGGTTGGAGAGGCGCTCTGCTCCAAGGCTCTGGGCCCAGGCTGCCGCGAGGCTCAGGTGAAATTGAGACCATGCCTGCCTGCGCACATGGGGAGATGGCCAGGCACCAAGGGGACACTCAGAGATACTGGCCTGGGGAGGCAGTGAGGGAGGGAAGCCAGGGCTCAGGAACACTGTCCTTGGAATTCTTAGCAGCAGCAGCAGCAGCCTGGCTTCAGAAACCCAGCCCTATTTCAGTGGCTTGGATGCTCCGTGATTATTTCCTGCTGAGGAGGGGGCTGGAAGGGAGTAGTGGGCTGTTTGGAATCAGAGAGGGAGCAGCAGCACCCCCTGGGGAGTCAGTGTGATACACCAGGAGGTGCAACTGACTGGGGGGGACAGGGCACCCCAGAAGATGCTCTGGGAATGTCTTTGGAGAGAGCAGCTCCTCCCTCCCCTCCCTGCCCCCACTCTCTCCAGGCACCCAGAGCCCTGCGGCATCCCCAGCGGGCGCTGTGGCTCCAGACTCTCCCTGTCTGTGGTCCAGCCCCTGACCTCCGGTCCGCACTGTCACACACATCAAAATGCACCCACCTCCTATCCCTCCAGGCCCCGGGCTTGGTTTTTCAAGCCCACCTGACAACCTGAACATCCTGGGGTGTTCAGGGATGGAACTGATCTCTGGTTCTTCTCTTCCTCCAGGGAAAAGATGTGTTTTTCATGTGGGGCAGAGTCTGGTTAGGAGGAGGCGGCCCGGGGCTCTGGCCCAGAGGAGCGCAGGGACTTGTCACTTACACTTTCCGGGTGCGCGGCCGGAGCCGGCGTAGGGCCTGGGGCACCTGCTCCGTGTCATAGGGTGACTGGTAGAAGAAGATGCGGACGTCCTCATCCATCAGCACCCAGATGGGCAGGCTGAGGAGGCTCTGTGTTTGGGAGAGGAGACAGCACAGGTGGGGTGGGTGGCCAGCAGAAAGGTCTGGACCTCCCAGCCTATCTGCTCCTCCCAGCCTATCTGCTCCGTCCCCGTTCTCCACACTGGTCCCTCTGTCTCTGTCTGTCTCTCTCTTAACCCTTTCTCTGCCTGATCACAGCAACAAGACATATTCCGTTTCATACAAGATGTGTGACATTTCATAAGCTTTACTCCTGGGCTCAAGATCAGGAGAGGACAGGCTGGCTTGAGAATAGTTCATTTGGAAAAGACCTTAAAGGCCCCCAGACCCAACAATAATGGTGACGACAGGTAAAAATGATGGGGTGGTGTGGCTTCTCTCCATCTCACCAAAAGCCTGAAAGTTAGTGTCGGGGAGGTTAGGGGACCTGCCCAAGGCCACCTGGCCTGGCAAGCGACAGAGCTGGGGCACCCAGAGCCATCTGCCACCGAGGTCCATCCCTGAGATGAAAATGAGACAGTCGTGGGAGGAAAGATACCTCCAGTGACCCATACCAACAACAGTTGGTGGCATTACAGCCTAAAAATTGCCTTCTGATACTTCATCTCATACCGGGGTTGGGGAAACTGAGGCTTGGAGAGGCAAAGGGCCCGGCCCAGTTGGCAGAGCTAGGAAGGAGAGGGGTCGGGCTCCCACTCCACCTGATGCTGGTTACACCGGCCACAGTGCAAAGGTCCAAGGTGCGAGGACGCAGAGTACCCAGAATGTGGCAGGGTCATTCCCCCGCACTGAACGATGCACGGGTCCCCAGGAGCTCTGTGGCTGGCCTTGGGCTATAGCTCCAGCCCCCTTCCAAGAATTCCATGGAGGCAGCCGGATGGAGAGGGGCCAGGAAGCGCATCCCAGAGGGGCCAGGACTGCAGAGCCTACACAGGACACGGCTCTCATACGGGGAGGACTGGGAGGCGGCCCAGAGGTGGGTTTAAGGGCACAGACGCTGAGCCAGGCCGCACCTGGGATCAAGGCCAGCTGTGCGACCCCGGACAGGTGCACCTCCAGATGTTCATTAATAAAACGTATGATAATAACACCTGCCTTGTGGGATGGTGTAAGGATTAAATAAGCGAGTAGGTGCACAATGCTTACAACTCTAGCAAGAGCCCGATCAGAGTTGGAAGTTATCATCGTTGCTGTTACTTTGATCACAATGTAGCACAGGGGGTGAAAGCACAGCCCCAGAGTCATAGAGATGGGAGTTCAAATCTCAGCCCTCCTCTCTAGCTGCTCTGTGGCACCAAGTGAGTGGCTCCACCTCTCTGTGCCTCCACCCTCTCAGCCGTAAATAGGGATAATAGCATCCAACTCACATGTTATTGAGGGAAGTAAATAAGCCTATTCGTTTACCCTACAAATCTGAATCAAGGGCCTCCTGGCTGCCAGTCAAAGCACTGCACAGCCCCCCAGGCGGCTGTCGTTATCACATGACCCATTTTCTCCACGCGGACAGTGGTGAGACCGCAGTGGAAGTTCCAAGGAATCAGATTTTTCTAATAGCTTTCCAAGGGACGAGCGGGGAAGAGTGGTAGTGAGCACCCCGGCCCTGGACCATAGCACAGATTCCTGCCCTGATGGACCCTTGGGCTCTGAGGAACCAAGTCACACAGAGATAGGCAGAGAGGGCACCCTCCAGGCTGCTGGTGGCTAAGCCCAGGTGGGGGACCATGAGCCCCAGCTCCACAGCCTCATCCCTCCCCTCTCCTACCCTGCAGGGAGACAGGAGCCTCCAGCCACTCTGAAGGAGCAGGCGTCACAGCGCCCCCTTGAGGGGAGATGTCTCCAGTGCCGCAGCCCAGGGGCTTCCCACCCTCCCTCTTCTCTGCTCAGAGCCCAGGATTCCTTTAGCCACTGGAGAGGGCAGGGGTCTTCTCCTCTCGCCTCGTGCCTCCTCGGAGCTCCTCCTGCCGCTCCCTCCACTAGGAGTTATGATCTCTCACATTCTGGAAGCTTCCAACATCACTCCTCTCCCAGTAGACCAGAGAGCTGGAGGCACTGCCCCATTTCACAGGTGAGGAAACCAAGGCCCAGAAAGGATGAGTAGCTTGCCCCACATCACCCAAACAGTCGATGTCAGAGTGAAGATTGAAGACGCCTATTCTGTGCTCTTCAGCCGTGAGAGTAGAAGGCGGGGGGAGCCCTCACTGATGGTGAGGGGGTCTTTGTGCTAAGAGGAGGGCTTCCCTCTGCAGTTTCCTTTGGTTGCCACCAAGCCATGGCTTGGATGCCTCTAGTGACACGGTGCTCACTACCTAGTGAGGCACCCTGTTGCTCTCTTGCACAGTCCTGATGGTAGAAGGACTTTCCTAACCAGCCTGGTCTCTGCCTTCAAGACGTTTCTTTCTCTGTGTTTCTATCTCCGAGGGATGCAGACCATTTACAGGCTAGGGAGTAGCCAAGGGCACCTGGGCAAGGCTCGTGAATGCAACTAAAACCAGCCTGTGCCTTGGCAAGGGAGGGCCTTTCTCCAGTTCATACAAAGGCACCATGTGAGAGCTGTGGCCCTGGCCCATCATGCCCCCGTTACACAGGCCACGGTTCTGTGATTTCGTGACCCACCTCTCCGTGTCCCCACTGGACAGCAGGTACCTCGGGAGGCACAGCCTGAACCCTACTCACCTCGCTCTCCAAACACTCGGCACAGACATTAGATTTGTTGACTCAAAGTGTGTTCCTGTACCTTCTCGATTGCCTCTGCCCCAGCCCCTGGAACTCTGAGAACACATCCTGATTCTCCCCCCAGGCCAGGCCTTTAAGGATCAAAGATGGGGGCCCATCAGAGCAGGAGAAGCAGCCTTACAGCTGTGCTCGGGGATGGTCCATGGGCTGCTTCCCCCTCTGTGCCCTCCGAGGTGGCCTTCCGGGTGTCTTCCCAGGCGCCACCCCCCCAGATGCCCCCCCAGATGCCTTCCCAGGTATTCACCCAGGCGCCCAGGCGGCACGGCCCCCGTTACCTTCATGTAGGCGTTGAGGGCAGGAATCCGTGCCTCTGCGATCTCCTGTTTCACGCCTACGTACACTTTGGCTGAGGAAATGCAAAAAGCTGTGCTGGGAGCCCCGCCCAAGAACGCAGTCTCTGGGCCCGGGGCTGCCCCTCCAGGCCGGGCACCTCCCCGCCGTGCCAGCGGGCCGAAGAGGCCCCTCCAGCCCACGCCGCCTTTCCCTTCCAGCTGGGCTGCACGTTTCCAGCTGATATTTCTCTTGTTTTCCTTGTTTACTTACTGCCAGTTCACACACATACGCACACACATACACGATTTTTGGCACCGAGAGAAAGGAGACTTTGCTCAGCTCACACTGTAGCGCATGACCTAACACAGGGGTCCTCAACCCTGGCTACACACCTAGGTCACCCGAGGAGCATTTAAAAGTCTAATTGTACGGGACCCGCCCCAGAATTATTACATCGGGGTCTCTGGGGGTGGGACTTGGGCATCAAAATTCTTTAAATCTCGAGGTGCTCCTAATATGCCAATGAGACCCAAATCCATCAATATTTGTTGAGTAGATGAAGGAATCATTCCTCAAAAGCAAGGCAGCGTGTTTGAGGGAAAGGGAAACTGATGACGGCTGACCCAAGGCAAATGTCCTCTCCAGGCGTCTTAGGCGGGGCCCCGGGTAGAACCGTCTTCCCGAAGAACCCCCACCAGAAGGTGAATGTCTGGCTCCCGCCGCCCGTGAGATGGGCAGGGGCTGGTGCCTGGTGGTAGTAGCAGGGCAGTGGCTGAGGTCTGGGGTAGGGAGGCGGTCGGGACTCAGCGGCAAGAAGACAGCAGTTAAGGTCAGAGTTCAGATTGCCTGGCTTGGGGGAGGGTGTCTGGAGGAAGAAGAAAGGCAGAGGATGGCCCACCTTCCAAGGGACAGAAGAGGGGACAGATTTCCTAAGGGGCTGGAGGAGCCGCCGTGAGGTAGGAAGAGAACTGGGAGGAGGCCAGTGCGAGGAGGAGGCCACGGACATGCGACATGCCATCAGGGGGACGCCACACAGACAGGGGACAAAACAGGCTGGAGCCTGGAGGGGGCGGGGGAGGGGGACCGGAAACAGGAGGGTCCCTGTCCCTGGCAGCCCAGAGACGCGATGGGGCAGATGTGAGCAGAACTGGCTCTGAAGGAGGAAAAGAGAAGCCAGGCGTCCCCACCCCCACCCCCCAGGGTAGGGGGGACAGTGCAGTTCCTCTGTGGACCTTTGCGGGGACAGAAAGCAAGAGCAAGCCGGAGGTGGAGTGAGGAGCTTGGAGAAGGAAAGGGCAGGAAGTTTCTCTGCTGTTTGTGAGAAGGGTGCCTGTGTGCCACCTGCCTGCCTGGCACGCCCCCACCCTCCAAGCCCACCCCGCTTTCCCGGCTCCCTACACCCCTGCAGGGCTCAAGAGGGCGCCTGTCCGGGGTGCATGTTTGGATGGAGCTGGGGAGAAAGGCCAGGAGGGGAGGGGTTAGGGGACTGTCCAGAGGCAGAGACGCGATGTCCACAGCATCAGAGAGGGGAGGCAGGGGAAGCCGTGAGGAGCCAGCCCCTGCTGGGGGGGGGGCTGTGATCAGAGGGCCAGGGCCAGAGGGGGCGCTCGTGAGTCCGAGGGCTGGACAAAGGGCGGGTGGCTGAGACAGGGTGGCCATAACCTCATCGCAGCACAGGAGGTCAAGGGCCATAAGGCCAGAGGGGGCAGCCTGTGACCGCTGGGAGAGGAGGGCAGGGTCCCCAGCGCAGGGGACGGGCCCGCCTACCCGGAAGTGTGGGCAGAGTGCAGGTGAACCGGCTGGTCTTGTTCTCCGGCCCGAAGCGCTCCTCCAGCTTGCTCTGCAAGGCGTAGAACTGGCGGTAGCGGCGGTAGATGAGGTACTTGGATCCGCCTTTCGTCTTCACCTCAATGACAAAAACCTAGAGAGGACACAGGCCAGGGTGTAGGGCGGCCGAGGGCAGACGTGGTGGGGATAGGGGTGGTGGTTCGAAGGTCCTAGGATTAGAGCGGCATTTCTCAACCTTGGCATCACACCGGGGGCCACGCTTCTCTGGGGTGGGGGCTGTGCTGTGCACCCGAGGGTGCCGAGTGGCCTCTCTGGGCTCCGTGCAGCCGGTGGCACGCCCTGCCCTAACCGGTAATCATCAAAAATGTCTCAGGGTGTTGACTACCAGGGGCGCCCGGGTGGCTCAGTCGGTTAAGCAATCAACTCTGGATTTCGACTCAGGTCCTGATCTCAAGGTTTTTGGGATTGAGTCCCATGTCTGGCTTTGTGCTGGCTGCAAAGGGCCTACTTGGGATTCTCTCTGTCCCTCTCTCTCTCTCTGCCCCTCCTCTGCTCGTGTGAGCATGTGCTTTCTCTCTCTCTCTTTCTCTCTCGAAATAAATAAACTTAAAAAAGCGTTGTAAAAAACGATATTTACTACCAAATGTCCCCTGGAGGGCAAATCGCCCTGTTGAGAAGCACGGGGATAGAAGTTAAGGGATGAGAGAGTTGGAGGTTTAGAGGTCAGAGGCTGAAGGTCAGGATCTCTCTTACAAAATAGCTGGTGAAGCCCCTCTTCTCCTCGACATCGGCGATGTTGGCCGAGACGGCAACGTCATCGGGAAGCTGTTCAAAGTCGCTGAGGGAGGCGGGAGGGAAAGGAAACCTGGTTACCACCTGTGGCCGGCCGAGCCCATCGGGCATGAGGCAGTGTGCAAAGTGAACCCTGGGTGTGTGTCAGCACCCCTTCTAGGAGCAGGCCGGGACTCAGACCAGACCCTGAGAGCGAACCCATTTGGAGAGGGGACCATGTACCCACGGCCGAATTCCAGTCCAGCAAATTGCTCTGTGACCATGTTATTCATCCAGGAACAGCACATCAAGTAACGTCTGTGTCAGACGCTGGCCTGGGCCCCGGGTCATAGGGGTAAACAAAGTCAACGTGTGTCCCACGGAGAGAATGATTCGTCACACTCAGCGTGGGGAAGTCCTTACAGAGGAGGTGACGTTTGAGTCAGGTCCAGAAGGTCGTCGAATAGAAGGTCGAAGGGGAATCCACTAGGTAGGCCCAGGTAGTTCCCTTCCAGGCAGTGGGAACAGCATATGCTAAGGTTCCAAGGCCCCAGGAGGGGACTTGGGTCTAGTGTGAGTGGAGTCAGCTGTGATCAGAGACCAGTCAGGTGAGGCCAGGCTGAGGAGGTTAGCAGTACTGAGCCAAGTAACTCATAGAGGGAACAGGAAGCCAGAAGGCTCTAGAAGGCTCCAGAAGAGAGTGAAAACACAGTAAGATCCTGGTTTAGGAGGCCAACTCAAGCAGCTGTGTGGAGAAGAAAAGGACAGAGGCTGAAGGTGAACAGAGCACCGCTGTGAGGCCCTGGAGTGCCTCCGCGCAACAGAGAGATGATGGGGACCAGAGCCAGACAGCAGGGGCAGGCGGGGAGAACAGACCCAGAGATACAACCCTTGGCAGACACTGTGTCATTGCTGGGTCCTCTGCTTCCTCCTGCTAATCAAGCTCCAATTTTTTAGGGCAGCAGCGTGCCTGGCCTCAGGGAGATGGACCATGATCAGTCTGAGCCAAACCTCATAACCTCATTCCTATTTCCCAGCCTCCCTTGCGGCTAAGACCAGCCATGCAACCGTTTCCGGCCAATGAGACCTAAGAGAAAATCAGTCACAGGGGCCTCTCAGAGCATCTGCTTTCCTGATCCAGAGGGAGAGCCAGGCCAGCACGGCTTCCTCTCCTTCCCCCTTCTGCTTACCTCTCTCTCAAAAATAAACAAACACTAAAAAAAAAAAAAAAAAAAAAAAGTAGGTGTGCTGCGTGGACCCACGGCAGCCATGTTGCATCCATGAGGAAGACCAAAGGAATTCTGGGATTTTGGCGCTGAGGTCATCGAGCTGCAGAACCAGCGGTGGTCTACCTCTGGACTCCTTGGTATGTAAAAAAATAAGCCCCTGTGTGTGTGAGCTACCCATCAGTTCCTCTGTGCCCAGCAGCCTTATACATTTCCAGCAGACACACTACCAACTTGTGAGTCATTCCTGGCCTATGGCCAGCAGGGTTTGGGGACTCTTTGGATGTGGAGGTGAACGAAAGGGCAGCATCTAGAGTGACACCCATGTGTCACCCATATTCTGATGAGGATGCGTGGGAGGGGGGCAGGGTTGGTGGACTCAGTCCCAGGCATGCTAATTTGGGAGTCCCTTGGGCTGCCGGGTCAAGGTGTAGCAAGAGCTGGTGTGGCTCTGGAGCTCAGAGGGGCTGGGGGTGGGGTCTTTGCTGGAGTGGGAGAGGGGAGAGCCACGTGCCCGTGATGCCCCTGGAAAAGCAATCCAGGAGCAGAGGGGGGTGAGAGGGACAAGTGGAGGAAGAGAAAACAGACAGGCAAGGAGACAGAGGAAGGGCAGCCAGGGGTCACAGAACTCAGAGCAGCTGGGGGACAGGGTGGGAGTGGGGGCGGGGCACTCAGAGGAGATGGGTTTCCCAGTCTGCATACCCAGTCCCAGCTGCCGCGGGTCCCCATGGGGACTTCTGGCTACCTCAGGACGCTGGTGGCTGCCACTAGGGGGTGAGTCAGGGTGGCAATGGGCAGACAGAGGAAATCCCCGCCACTCCCTGAGCGACTCAGTGACCAGTGGCCGCCCCGCCCCCCGCTCAGTTTCCACACATGCTCCCCACGGCCAACACCCTTGGGAGAAGCTTCTGCCCCCACTTTCTCCCTCGAGGCTGTGGGTTTCATGGGTAATTCATCTGCAGTACGATGGCAGGGCACAGGAAGGAACCAGAGCATAGACATGGCTCCGGGCAGGGAATCAGGAAGGCTGGGTGATCATAACTATGCTCATCTGTTTCCCAATCATGTGCCCTTCTGCCACCTTTTATACAGACGGGGAAACCAAGGCACACAGAGGTTACAGAACTTGCCCAAGGAAATAGAAAAGCTGGGATTTGAGCCTAAACTGTTTGGCTCGAGAATTCTGTTCCCAAACACCGCCACACTGCACCTCACTTGCTGCCCCACCAGCTCGTTGCAGGCCCTTCAACAAATCCCAGCCCTCCTCCCGGCCTCAGTTTCCCCATCTGAGGTAATAATCACAACAACAGCAACAGCAATGATAATAATAGCAAACCCTCATTGGCACCTCACGGAGCTCAGACACTGTTCTAAGCACCTTAGGATGTGGCTTCTGACTCCTGGGTCTCTCTCTCTCTCTCTCTCTTTTTTTTCTTCTTCTTTTTTGTTTTAATTTTTTTAACGTTTTTATTTATTATTGAGAGACAGAGAGAGAGACAGTGTGCAAGCAGGGGAGGGGCAGAGAGAGTGGGAGACACAGAATCTGAAGCAGGCTCCAGGCTCTGAGCTGTCAACACAGAGCCCGATACAGGGCTCAAAGTCACAAACCATGAGATAATGACCTGAGCCGAAGTCGGAAGCTAAACCGAATGAGCCACCCAGGCGCCCCTTGACTCCCAGGTCTCATGGCTAAGTGGAGGAGTTTGATGCCTAACCAAGTAATGATGTCATGTCAATGCTCAGAGAGACTGGGAAAGAAAAGCACACGGTGTTTTGAGCTGTAACGGAGCCGGGCATTATTATATTCCCTCCAAGAATTAGTAGTGATGTGGGCAAGAGAGCGTGGCAAGCAGGCACTTCAAAGATGGGACTTATGTCCCCGAGGGAGAAAAGCAGGGTGCTTTACGAGGGCTCAGCTCGCTCAGATCGAGGGTGGTCAGGGAGGGCTTCCCAGAGGAAGTGGGGCTGGCTCTGTGGGAGAAGCGAGGAGGAGCTGGCTACAGGACAGCAGGCAAGGGAAATTGAGCGCCGAGGCTCTAGGCATGCAAGAGAGGGTCAAGTTCAAGGAACTTCAGGGCAGGGGCAGTTTGAGTGCAGCCAGAACACACAGCGGGAGCCAGAGAGGAAGGAGAGACAGAGCCAGCGAGACAGGCAGGGCCCATCACGAAGGTCCTGTGCCTGGCGCTGGGGGTAGGGGGGGCACAGGCGAGGAAGGGGGTCACGCTGGGAGGGCATGAGGATCAGAGCGGGAGGGTGTGGGGGGAAGGTGACCCTCAGAATCCCTGCTCCGCCATGGCCAGCGGGGACCTTGGGAAGACTCCCCTCTGTGCCTGGGCTCCTTGCTCCCTCTGTTAATCGGGGACCCCTGGAGGGTCAGGAGGTCTCATCTGTAAGGAGCCCAGCCTGAGAAACCCCGCAAAAGCAGGGGGCCTGCTCACTGCTGCACCCCCAGTGCCCAGAACAGCGCCGGCCACACAACAGGTGCCCCCACCCAGGGCCGCTCCCGCGTCTTGTGTTTTAGCAAGTGACCCCGCTGGGTGCTGGGGGCTGAGCCAGGAAGCTGTGCACCAGGGCAGAGGCGGGGATGGGGGTGGGCAGCGACGGTGACTGGGAGCCATCCTAGAAGACCTGCCCCCCCACCTCCCGGAGATCCCCGACTCAGGACCCCTCCAAACTGAAGTCGCCCCAGGGCCTCCTGGGACCGGGAGATGCTCTGGGTTCATACGCACTCATGTCTTTCTCGGAAAGTCCACTTTGGATCCTGGGTGGGAGGGGCTGAGGCCTGGACAGACTTCCGGGGGGGCGGGGCAGCTAGCTTGGGTTTTGTGGCTCCTGCACACAGTAAGTGCTCAAAACATGTTTGTTGGAACCCCTCTTGCTACCCCAAGGCAGTCGTCTCCAGCTTTGGATGTCTCAGGCCTTAAGAAGTCTTGCTGTCCCCTCACTGTCCCTTTGTGTCCTCTGCGCTGGCCTCAGACACAGCCTGTCCAGGGCACCTGACCGGCGGGGGGCCCAGGGCCTGGCTTCATGGCCACATGAAGGGAGGGAGGCGGGCGCCCCTTCCTCCTCTAGGGGAGGGAAGGGTGGCTGGACAGAAACAGAGCATGAGAGGAAGGGAGCACAGTCTGGGGGTGGGCAGCTCTTGGGGGGTGTCCTGTCTTCTGACACATTGTCCCCCAAGAAACAGGAAGTGCCATGAGCCTCACACGGCAGCCACTTCCTGTGTGTTCAGCTTCCGCTCCAGTGAGAGCTGGTGGGGAAGAGTGGCGGGAATCTGGTGGGACAAGCCAGCCCTTGCACCCCCCTCCGGCTCACCAAGGCCTTCTGGAGCCGCACTGCAAGCATCCTGCGGTCCCTTCCTACACACACACACACACACACAGACACAGACACAGACACAGACACACACAGACACACAGACACACACACACACACACACACACACACACACACACACTGACATGCTTTCTTCTGACCTGCAGCCTTTGAAAGTTCCACCTGTAACCCCAGACTCCGCCGTGAACCCTTTGCTGCCCGCTTTGACCCCAGACAAGCCCACCCGATCTCCAACAACACTCTTGCGTCACCATCACACGGTTAGCGTGCTTTTTTTCCTGATGTCACCTGCTGTTCCAATCCAAGGGCAGGAGCCAAGCCCCATGTCCCCAGGTCCCGCACAGCTCAGAGCACAGGCTTGCTGAGAGCTGAGGCGAAGCCCTGACCAGGCCGTGCTGCATGTGACCCTGAGTGAGTACTTGACCCTTCGTGGCCCTTGTTTTTTCTCATCTGTCGAATGATGGGATTGGACTAGAAGGACCTCAGGACATTCTCCAGCTCAAGG